TTTTCTGCTGGGTATTGAGGGGTGGGGGGAGAGGAGGGGGGTGGAGTGGGTGGTAAGGGAGGGGGTGGGGCAGGGGGAGAAATGACCCAAGCCTTGTATGCACTATGAAAGTCAAAAGAAAAAAAAAAAGACAAGAGAATAAGGATGAAAAAAAAAAAGCAATTCAGTTTCAAAGTCTATAGTGTCTGGAAGTCACTGTCTATCACATGGTGTTTTGGGTTTTTGCTGTATTTTCTTAGGTCCACAGTGCGACTTATTTTATGAGGTTTCCTTTTTTTTGAAGCAGTGCGCGTCTGTGTTTTCACCTTCTTCAGTGAGCCTGGAAACTTGACATCTGGGTTGACTTAGTGTTGACTTCTCGTTAAACATCCAGCTCAGAAAGGTGCCCATGGTCCCAGAATCACCAAAGCCAAGGGTGCCCTGGTAGGCTTCAGTGGAGTATGGCCCATGGAATCATAACGTGCTTCCAGCCAGAATATGACCTTGGTGTTTTTTCTGGCCTCACATACAGAAAATGAAGCGTTAGGATTCCCTTCCATTGTAATTGGTGTTGATTTACTGCAGAATGCATATCCCAAAATCAGTTTCTCTCTTCAAGTTGCAGTTGAATTTTAAGAACTTTATGGGCGAGTCGAGAGAAGAGGAGGTATCATTTTTATATGTCCGGCTAGGCTTATAGAGAACGTTAGGGGTATATTTCTTAACCAATAAATGAAGTATCTTTCTTTAGAGTACAGGTATTGATGTTCTCTCATGTAAAAATATCTTTGTACTTTACCAATCTGTGTTGGAGGAAGGTTTCTTGCTCGGTCTAAGTAGAAATGTGACGTTTTAAGTTCGCTTTTATTTGAATAAGAGATTGTTGAAAATTGAATTATGTAAAATTTTGGGTAGAGGCTTGCATTATCTTGTGGAGTTTATTAAACTATTTAAAAAGAATGAAAAGGAAGTCCTGTGCCCATTAGCAGTCATTCCCTATTCCTCCCATCCTTGCTCCGCACGTTATCGCTTTTTTTCTGGCTTTTTTTTTCTCTGTAGATTTATCTATTCTGGACATTTCACATGAATGGTGTCTTACACTGTTGGCTGTTTTGTGAGGTTCGTCCATATTTAGCATGTGTCAGTACTTCATTCTGGCCAAATAATGTTCCAGTGTGCTCACATACTACATTTTGTTCATTCATGTTGGTGGACATTTGGGTTAGTTCTGTTTTTGTTTATTATGAGTTAAGCTTGCTGGAATTCCTAGCCAGAGCAATTAGGCAAGAAGAAGGAATAAAAGGAATTACAAATAGGTAAAGAAACTGTCAAAATATCCCTATTTGCAGACGACATGATCCTATATACCTTAAAGACCCAAAAACTCTACTCAGAAGCTTCTAGACATCATCAATAGCTATAGCAAGGTAGCAGGATATAAAATCAACATAGAAAAATCATTAGCATTTCTATACACTAACAATGAGCAAACGGAAAAAGAATGTATGAAAACAATTCCATTTACAATAGCCTCAAAAAAAATCAAATACCTAGGTGTAAACCTAACAAAAGATGTGAAAGACCTCTACAAGGAAAACTATACACTTCTGAAGAAAGAGATTGAGGAAGACTATAGAAAGTGGAGAGATCTCCCATGCTCATGGATTGGTAGAATCAACATAGTAAAAATGTCATACTCCCAAAGTAATCTACATGTTTAATGCAATTCCCATCAAAATTCCAATGACATTCATTAAAGAGATTGAAAAATCTACTGTTAAATTTATATGGAAACACAAGAGGCCACGAATAGCCAAGGCAATACTCAGTCAAAAGAACAATGCAGGAGGTATCACAATACCTGACTTCAAACTATATTACAAAGCAATAATAATAAAAACAGCATGGTACTGGCACAAAAACAGACATGAAGACCAGTGGAACAGAATAGAGGATCCAGATATGAAGCCACACAACTATAAGCAACTTATCTTTGACAAAGGAGCTAAAAATATACGATGGAGAAATAGCAGCCTCTTCAACAAAAACTGCTGGGAAAACTGGTTAGCAGTCTGCAAAAAACTGAAACTAGATCCATGTATATCACCCTATACCAAGATTAACTCAAAATGGATCAAGGATCTTAATATCAGACCCAAACTCTTAAGTTGATACAAGAAAGAGTAGGAAATACTCTGGAGTTAGTAGGTATAGGTAAGAACTTTCTCAATGAAACCCAGCAGCACAGCAACTAAGAGATAGCATAGATAAATGGGACCTCATAAAACTAAAAGCTTCTGTTCATCAAAAGAAATGGTCTCTAAACTGAAGAGAACACCCACAGAGTGGGAGAAAATATTTGCCAACTATACATCAGACAAAGGACTGATAACCAGAATATACAGGGAACTTAAAAAACTAAATTCTCCCAAAACTAATGAACCAATAAAGAAATGGGCAGTGAACTAAACAGAACTTTCTCAAAAGAAGAAATTCAAATGGCCAGAAAAACACATGAAAAAATGCTCACCATCTCTAGCAATAAAGGAAATGCAAATTAAAACCACACTAAGATTCCACCTCACCCCTGTTAGAATAGCCATCATCAGCAACACCACCAACAACAGGTGTTGGCGAGGATGCGGGGAAAAAGGAACCCTCTTACACTGTTGGTGGGAATGTAGACTAGTACAACCACTCTGGAAAAAAATTTGGAGGCTACTTAAAAAGCTGGACATCGATCTACCATTTGATCCAGCAATACCACTCTTGGGGATATACCCAAAAGACTGTTACTCCAGAGGCACCTGCACATCCATGTTTATTGCGGCACTATTCACAATAGCCAAGTTATGGAAACAGCCAAGATGCCCCAGCACTGACGAATGGATTAAGAAAATGTGGTATCTATACACAATGGAATTTTATGCAGCCATGAAGAAGAACGAAATGTTATCATTCGCTGGTAAATGGATGGAATTGGAGAACATCATTCTGAGTGAGGTTAGCCTGGCCAAAAGACCAAAAATCGTATGTTCTCCCTCATATGTGGACATTAGATCAAGGGCAAACACAACAAGGGGATTGGACTATGAGCACATGATAAAAGCGAGAGCACACAAGGGAGGGGTGAGGATAGGTAAGACACCTAAAAAACTAGCTAGCATTTGTTGCCCTTAATGCAGAGAAACTAAAGCAGATACCTTAAAGCAACTGAGGCCAATAGGAAAAGGGGACCAGGAACTAGAGAAAAGGTTAGATCAAAAAGAATTAACCTAGAAGGTAACACCCGCACAGGAAATCAATGTGAGTCAATGCCCTGTATAGCTATCCTTATCTCAACCAGCAAAACCCTTGTTCCTTCCTATTATTGCTTATACTCTCTCTACAACAAAATTAGAGATAAGGGCAAAATAGTTTCTGCTGGGTATTGAGGGGGGGGAGGGGAGGGGTGGAGTGGGTGGTAAGGGAGGGGGTGGGGGCAGGGGGGAGAAATGAACCAAGCCTTGTATGCACATATGAATAATAAAAGAAAAAAAAATGAGTAATTCAGTTTAGTTAAAGGATTTTGTTCTTTTAGTGATGCTTACTGGAAGAAATGGAAAATTATAGAAAATTAGAGGGAGGAAAAGGTGTCCCTTCTCCACAAATGGTATTTTTGATATTTCAGTGTATTTCCCTTGTGGTGTTATATATTATAGCCCACCTATTTCCAAAAAAGGATCTGGCACAACTTCAGCGCCTATGCATGCATTTTCTCATGATTGAGGACATGTTCTATTTAAGTTTTTTTCAGTTATCTTTATAGAAGACTTTTAAGAACTTTTTTTTTTGGTGGTGGATTTTTTTGTGATGTTTCCAATTTTCTGCTCAGTCCTGATCTTGAAGATTTATTCTAACTCCGAAGTTTGGTGATCAGGCAAAATTGTCTGAGGAGCAGAATGTGTTTCGATTTAGGGGCAGGAAAAAGCAAACTGCCAGGAAGTCAAGCTGAGCTGCCATCAACTCCTAGTTTGCAGGTTGAGACAGGGAAGCATTTTTGGGGATTATATGTAAAAGGCCTTGATCCTGGACTTGCTTCTCCACTTCACTGCCATGGGACTCTGCCATGTGACACTGAAATAGTCTGGACCTCAGAGCCTGCCTTTGAAAAATGCACAGACCCTCAGGGAATTGCAGTTCTAATGAGTGTAAATATTTTATAAATTGTAAAGCACTCTGTGCTTCAAGGTGACAAATATTTTGTCCCATTTATGGAATACTCACAGTATACCAGATACCTTGCCAGACACTTTGTGTATTGTTTAATTGCCAATTGCTCTATGAAGTAGCTGTTAACTTTCCTTTTACAGTTGAAGGAAGTGAGGCTTGGAAAACTTAGAATAGAATCCAGGGGAGGCCTGTCATGGTTTAGATATCTGTCAACGTCCCCAAACCCTCACTGAACCTACTTACATAATTCAACCAGTATAACTTCTGGGACCAGTGAATTCTGCCTTTGTGTTTGACACTCTTAAAACATCTGAATTGGTGCCTGATTCCTAAGAGTTTAACTTTTATTGGGCTGGTATGTTAATGATAATAATGATGGTGATGTCAGAACAACAACAGGTGCCATTTATTTTAGCATTCCTGATGAGCTAAGTGTTTGTATACATTGGTTTAATTTTTCTAGGTATAAGGTAGTCTCCTCATCTAATAGACGGAGAAAGTAAGACTCTAAAACTAAGCACTTGTATTTGGCCTTGTGTCACTGTACCTAGCATACATTTGACACACAAAACATTTGAGGCATGAGTCAATGAATGCATCACCCTGCTGAACGTCACACAGCTACATGTCAGATCTGGGGCTCAGTTCAAAAGCCAGAGCTCAGCCTCAAAGCCTTGTGCTTCTTGCCTCCCAGGCCTGTATGTCCCTTGTGGCCATGGCCTGATGACTGTCCTGCTCCTTCTAGGCAGTCTGAATAGTCTCTGTTGTCAAACACTAGCTCATCTCTTATCCCATGTGTTCTCTTCTAGTGGTCTTGCTCCTACTCTACCCGATGGCCCCGATGGCATCAAGGCCAGTGCTGGCTTAGGAAATGGAGGTAAGGACACAGCTGGGCTTTTTCTTGAATAGGAGGTAGACAGAGACCATGAGCAAGGAGGCCTGGGCCTGGGCTTCCATATTCCTAGACCAGAACCTACCTGGCCTGGCACCCAGTGGGTGCTCAGCATCTTAGGTATGTATATACTGATTTGTTGTCTACCTCTTTTTCATAAACACTGACTCAGCATGGGGCTTTGTTAGTCTCTGTTGCTGAGGGCCTGGAGGTCCAGGAGAGCTGCCATCCCAACTTCAGTGTGCCAAGGCCTTTCTGGCAGACTGCTAGATTCCATTTGCCAGCTGAGGTCCTGCATTCCTACATAGGCCTGACCTTTGTAAAATAGCTGGTTAGACCACAAGTGATGTTGCTGAATAAATAAGCAATGCATTGTGCTTAAGCTGGATTGTGTGGAGACTGCAGTTTGGGTCTTGCTAAGCATTCTTCATAATTTTCATTGCTGAAAGAAGTGAATGTTATTTTTTACATGCTGGAGGTTTGAGTCAAGTGGTAGAGCACTTTGAAGCCCTGTGTTCAGAGCCCTGTGTTCAGACCCCTGTGTTCTGGGCTCTGGATCTAGGAACTGCCACCCAGATATATTATGACAAAACAACAACAGCAAAACAGGATCACTGTCCTATGTGTCTGTGTGGATAGTGTTAATAATTTGCCTTGTTGAAATATCTTAGAAATATTTTGGCTAGTGTTTTTTTCTCTTTTCCAAAGTGATGAGATATGTGTAAAAAGAAGCTTTTAGAGCAGGTAGAATAAGAGTCACAGGTTTGTTTCTGGAGAATTCTACAACTTATAGGCCACCCTCAGGTTTTCCTTTGGAACCTGTTAATTTTTACCTTAAACAAAAAAAACCCAATGAGCCTGTTTTCTATTCTTCCTGACTGCAGGCAGTTGGAGGCAGAAAGTGGTTAGGCCTACTCCTTAATGCAATGCAGCTGATGTACCTCTGCGCCGTGCGAGACTCTGAACTAAGGACTGGGATTGTCATTACCCTCTGGCTGAGAGCACAGGCAAACAGAATTACACTGTGATAAATCATATGGTCAAGGTCGGGAGTGAAGAAATGTAAGGTGCTATGAGGGGATGAGAGAATCAGAGAGCCAGGTGAGAGTTCCCCAAGAAACTGGTACTTTCTGTGCAGAGTTACTTAGGGAACAAGGAGAGGATAAGCTTCCCTAACGCAGGTGACAGAGCATGGCCCACTTAGAGCAGAAAAGCAAACCTGTGTGCCCTCAGTGTGGTGAACAGGGCCCTGCATAGTGTGCCCCACCCATTCCTCAGCCTCTGTCTGCTCAGTGGTTTTCATACACCATGCCCATGCCTCCTTCTGGACCTGAGACTGGCTCATTTTGAACCTCTCATCTGCCAGGCGCCTGCCTGCTGCCTCATTAGGAGTTAGCTGAAAGCGTCTCACTGCCTTTGGTTCTCTCTAGGGCCACTTAGTCATGTTTTCTTCTCTGGACATTGTAATTTCATTTGTTCCTGTCTGCCACTTTTGAAGTATCCAGAATCTAACCAGGTTTTACCCACTTATACTTGTTCCATTCTGGTCAAATCACCACGCTCTCTGGCCTGACTTACCCCAGTCTTCTTGTTTCTCTCCCGAGCCCCTTAACAGTCTGTTCTCAGCAAGGCAGCCAGAGGGAGCCTGTCAAAACCTGAGTCTGCTTTATGTTGCTCCCTCATTCAGAATCTTCCAGCAGCACAGCAACTCCGTCCTTTACTGCGCCTGTAGGACCAGATACAGTCTGTCCTCTACAAATTCTCTTTGGTCCTCTTTGTTGGTTCCCTTTAATAATCTCCAGCCAATGCCTCTTGAGTGTTCCTCAGACTCACTGGGCATGCTCCCACCTTGGGTTTCTCCCTGCACCTGGAGTTTTGTCCCCTTTATGACTGGCTGCTTCTCTTCAAATCTGTCCAGATGTAGCCTTTTCAGTGAGACCTTCTTAATCATCTTAGTTAAAATTGCAGCCCCCAGTCTGCTCCAGGTATTTCCCACTTTATTTTTCTCCATGGTGTTTTTGCCTTTTACCATATTATATAATTGCCCTCTCTCTCTCTCTCTCTCTCTCTCTCTTTTTCTGTCTCTTTCCTTTACAGTATTGGCTCCATTTGTTTCCTGATGGAGACAAATCCAGAACGCTTCCTGGCAGAAAGTAGGCTCTCAGTGTGGCTTTGCTGGAGAGTAGATTCATGCATTCACTCAGCACCCACAAAGTGCCAGGTGCTCTGCCCAGCGTGATGACAGTTTGTTTTCCTCTGTCTAACCCACTGTCTGCGAATCTCGTGGGTGCGGGATCACTGTCTCCTTCACCTTTGTTTCCCCAGTGCACAAGGCAGTGCTTGGTGCAGAGCAGGTCAACTTAATTCAACTGTTTGTTGGATTAAGGAGGCTGTGGAGAGATTTGGGTAGCAGCACTGTCTCCACTCACCCTGGAGTGGGGGTTGACAATTTCCCGCCACTGCCTGCTTTGTTTGTTTTATTTTTTGGTGGCCCTGCTACTGCCCGCTTTGGAAGAAAACTTGGGAATGCAGCCACTGGTTTGTGAGTTGGCTAGGGCTGGTTTTGTGCTATAACAAAGGAGTAGAAAGCTATGACAGTTGTAGGCTTTGTGTATGGCCTGCAAGCTGAAAAATTCTGGTTTTTAAGAAAAAGTTTGCCAAGCCCTGCTGTGAAGTCAGTTAGTCAGGCTTTGTGTTAATTCCTGACATGTGAAGATGAGGAAGTACATGTCAGGAAGGTCTATCTTGCCACATGCCCCATGCGTTTTCTGGGTTCATCCTCTGATACATGTGGTTACACTGGGGCTAGATTAAATAATTTGTCAGTATTGGAAATAAAATGACTGAGAGCTCTCCCTGTATTCACAACAGTAAATCACAACAGGCAGAAGGTGTCATCAGGGTCATTGTGGAAGCTGCTCCTGTTTTCTCTGGGCTATAGTCCCTGATAGAAGTGCTGGGTGGTCTATGTGCCAGGATGTTGTTCTGATGTCTGTTTTGCCTTTTTATAGCGCTCCAGATGTTCCAGAAGAAAAGATTTCTCCCACCAGAGCACGGAACATGAAGGACTTTGAAAATGTAAGTGGAGATACCAAATTATTGTCTCTAACAAATCATGTTTTTTGCCACTGTCCAGCTAGACCCTGGAGAGGGCTATGGTTATTAAGAACTGTCTGAGCTGAATAACACTGGAGGTGGAGGGGTGCCAGGCTTGGGGCCTTCTCTTTGAGACTGTCCCATGTACAAGTAGTCAGCCTCTGTACAGAGGCTACCTGTATGTTCTGACAGGGTCAGCAGTTTTAATTTTGGGTATTTGGTGTGTTCTCGTGTCCAGAAGATGAGATACTACCATATCGTACAGTTGAGGGGAAATAACATTTTCCAGGCATCTTACAGTCAGGTAAGAGATAGTATTTATGGCTCCTAGTTAGGCCCTGCTTCAACTCGAAGTCTTTTGTATTATCCCCATTTCACAGATAAGGAGTATTTAGACTAGGAGAGACTTCTTTGTGGTTAGATAATGCAGAAGGGTGGAGCTGGGACTTGAAACCAGGCTTCCAAAGAGTCCGCAGCCATTAGTCTCTCTACTGCTTTGCGCCTCCCTGGCACTTTGTGGAGTTTGTCGCTGTTGAATGGAGTGAGTATTCTGGACACACTTCTGTGTAGTAATTGCCTGAGAATGGATTACTTGGTGATAGATTTGACTTGGATGCTTAATGTCTTCCAGCATTGTGTCTTTCATTTGTTAGTGGAAGGAGTTTGTTGTCAAGTAACAGGGAAAAAAGGTTATTTTCCCAATTCCAATTCTCTTTAACAAGTTACCTGCTCAACACTCTCATTTATCATGGGAAGAATTAGACCCTTCTTCATTTGTAACCAGATGAAATCCATACTATGCAAAACACAAGAGATATTTATCAGAGAGAAAATGGAGGACACAGAGAGAAGGACGCTTCACAATTATGTTTCTTTCTCCCCAGTTGTCTTTACAGAACGGAGTGGTGCTGTCTCTGGATTTAATTTAGAATACTCATTACTGCTAATAGTTATCTGCAAACCACCAGTGACCAATTGAAGAAATGACTTGTCAGATCTGTAATGGAAACAAGTAATTTTTGAGCTTTGAGTTGTTATAATTTCACTTGTACAACGAGATCTATGCTATGGGGTCTGGGGCCTCAAACGAGAATGAGATTGGATTATTCTACATCGTGTGTAATTAAATATGTTCTACTGTGAAATGGTTGTTCCTGTTTTATCATAAGAGTAATAATAGCCACTGTTTATTGAGCCCTTGCTCTGACTGGGCACTTTCAGTGTTGAACTCTATATATACATTACTTTAATATTAAAGCAGCTTTGCAAGATAGAGAACTATTATTGATTTTTGAAGGGTGCAGTTTGAAATTTATTTCTAGGTGAGAAAGAATCTTGGAATTTTGATTTCATATCTGCCTTTTGAACTGAAAGGATTCCTGAATCCAGCCCTATTTGTCGTATGGAGGAAAAACTGAGGGGATGTGATATGGCAAAGCTATTCTCAGAGGCCATAGGTGCTGTCTAAGGATCTCAGCCTCTGCTGGGTCTGCCAGCTACTTAACCTCTCTGTACTTTCCTTGTATCTAAAGTGGGCAGGGGCAGCCCTTCACAGGCTCGTTAGAGGATTAATGAGTGAAGCACATATTCCTGGCACATCCTGTGTGCTAGCTGTTTCTGCTTCTCCTTCTTATTGTTATTATATCTGTTATTGTCATTTTTTCTCTACTCTGCCATGTGATTCAGGTTCCTCTCGCTCAGACTGTTCTTGATGGCCTAAATCCTATTTTTCTTGAAGGTGAGGGAGAGGCTTCCATGGGCAAATATGTTTTAGGATTTATGGTTTTCTTTATGATTGTGGTCCTTTGGCTGCTGTTAAATTTTTATGGTATTAATATTTTTTATTGTAGCATTTTCAAGAGCAAATTCTGCAGCTGAAATTAAAGTGACCACACCATTCTCCGTATCTCCCTTTTAGGTCTTTATAAGTCACTGAAGTTTTTCATTTGGCCTGAGCTTCATTTAGTAGCTCAGGCCATAGATTTCTATGTGGCGGTAGTCTGAACTTTCTGTGGGATGCTTGTAGGAACTGCTGTTGTCATCAAAAGCTAATTTTAGAGGTAGTGTGTGTATTAAAGAGGGGGCCAGACCACTTTTTCATTTAAAGGAGAAACTTACAGTTCTTATTATTCTAGCCTTAGATGACTGCTGTCTGAACATCAGCAGTTACATTTAGTTAGGGTCTACCAAGATATAGGCCCTTGTGGTTTTACTCAGAGTTCATCTGCTCAGTAAACATACTCATGTAGAAACCTGTGTTGCCAAGCTGCCTGCAAGGGGCTGGGGAATCTGGGGTGGATTAAGCCACAGGTTAAGCCCTAGTGAGTTTCCCCTCAGCAGGCTCATGATTTAATTAGGAAGCTGGATGGCACAGTAGTGCACTGAGGTAAGTAACCGGTGCTGTGGGCTACAGAGGATGGGCTCCAAACTGAGGGGGCTTCAGGGAATTGGTCTCGGAGGAGTCATTGCTGGAGTTGGGTAAGGGACCAGCGACTCGCACAAGGACTCAATGCAGTGTTGAGAGAGTATGTCAGGGCATAATGAGTTCAGGGAGCTGTGAGTGCCTTTTGGCCAGGACAAGGCTATGTGAGGGAAGTGAGGCCATAGAAGCAGGTGGGAGGTCAGTCCTGCACATTCTTGACTGTTCCACTGCTTAGTTTGATTTTGTCCTGAAGATGAAAGAGAACCAGTGACAGATTTTAATTGGGAAGGGAAATGACCAGAGTTAAGTTTTCAAGAGATTACTGAGGTCTGTGATCAGCGATCATGAGGACTAGCTTAGAGGGAGCCAGGCTGGTAGGGCAAGATGTGAGGTAAAAGGCCACTCTGGTGCTGTGGGCCAAAGGGAGGAAGGCCAGACTCAAGGACATGGGGTTGAGAGACGAGGAGAGTGGGGTTGGAGCACCAAAACTGAGCTGGAGTCACTCCAGGCATGTCACCAGCCCTCATTTGACACCTGGGGACTGCAAGCCCAGAGAAGTGGGAGTTCATACAGGTTTCTGGCACATTCTCTGTGCTGGTTAGGTACTCACTAACATGCGAAGATCACGCCTTCCTTTAGGCTTTAAACTGGTACTCCACCATTTGTTATCTGTGTTAGCTAGTGAGGATAGAATTGCCTATATGGAAGGGCCTCATGGCGGGAAGTTTGGGAGTCATTCTGGTCTTCGGTGGGAGCCTGTCCTGTTGGTCCTTTCTAGATGGTAATGTAGTGAGGAGCTCCCTGGGTTTCAGAGGGCTGGTGGATGCAGCATTTTTTTTTTTTTTTAAATTTTGCAGCACTGGGGTTTGAACTCAAGGCCTACTCCTTGAGCCACTCCACCAGCCTTTTTTGTGATGAGTTTTTTTTGTGGGGATAGAGTCTTGCGAACTATTTGCCTGGGCTGGCTCCCAACCTCGATCCTCCTGATCTGTGCTTCTTGAGTAGCTAGGATTACAGGCGTGAGCCTGTCAGGGAGCATTTTTGAAGGTCTGTGCTTATCTACCTTGACCTTTTCAGGGCACTGAAATCTCTTTACCCTTAAAAATTCTTTGCGGGATGAGAAAGGAAGACTTAGAGTATGGTGTGGCATATCTAGTCTGGGTAGCTGTCTTTATCAGTATATAGATTTTAACTCTGGCCTTTGACAGGAAGTGATATGGGTAGCTTTCCATCTCAATTAATACTGATGACAGGCATTATGTAGTTACTGTGTAATATTTCAGAAAGACTTGTGTTAGAATGGGTGCATCGAACCATAATTTACTTAATTGCCTGCTCTGGGACATTTCAAATTATTTCTCACTTCTCACTATTACAAACAAAGCTGTGACAACATCCTTATGCATGTATCTTTTTGCAGTTATGAGTCTTTTTCTTTTTTAGGATAAATTCCTAGAAATGGGATTTTTGGACACCAGAAGTTTTAAGTATAATTTCTGTGCAACAAACAGTAGATATAACTGAGTAGGATTAATTTCTAGTGGCCTCTTCGCTAAGGAGTTGGGAAAACCCTTAGCCAGATGTGGCTAAAACACTTGTCTGACTCCTGTCCCCACCTGGATCTCTCTTTGTCCTTGTCCTTTGCTTCACTTTTCTCATACAGAGCTGCCCAGAGATGCTGGTATTCTTGTGTTGAGGACTGTATTCCTATTTGTTGAAAGTTCTTGGTCTCAGCTGAGGCAGTTGGTTCAATTTGAGTGTCTTACTTGGTTTGGCGAGGAGGTTTCCCTCTTTAAATTTGCTCTGTAACATCTGTGCTGTGAGTTCCTTATCGCCAGGGAGTGGTTCCTCATCTTCTGTGCCTGCCCCATTTATTTAGCCCTGAAACATTGAGAAGCACGCCGTGTGGACACAGCGTGGACTTGAGGGTAGTAGGAACTGGGTTCAGGTATGGCTCTGCCACTTACCCGTGCTTTTCAGTGGGCAGCTTCCAGGACCTCCTGTGCAGAGTGACGTGAGGAGCTCCTAGGCTGTGGCACGGGCAGCACCTAACCTAAGGTCTGGTATGCCACGGTACTCAGTTAAGTGCTGGTGTCTTCTCTAAGCTGAGCTTCTCTCACTGCCCCTGGCTTATGCTCGTTGCTTTTGTTTTCTGCCTATCCTTTTATGTTTCTCTGCTGTTGGAATAAAATCCCTCAGTTCTTGCAATGCCCTTAGATCCTGCCCTGTGTGATGGGCAGCTCCCTGTCTCTTTGAGCTCACAGTGCTCCTCTCTCCCCTGTACACTGGGTTTCGTCACACATCTGCTCTTCTCCCACATACCCAGTTTGTTCCTGTGTCAAGACCTTCACACGTCCTCCCTTTCCTCAATATCTGGGTTCCTGGACCTGCAGCTTTAATGTGACCTGGTTAGAGAGGCTATTCCTGATCCCCTTCCCAGTTCATTCTTCTCTCTTCTAGTGAGCACTCAGCAAAATGCCTCTTCTACTGTAGTCTTATGACTGTTTGGCATTATGTCTTTATTTGCATACTTGCTTAACATGTGTCACTTCTACTGCAT